GCCCCCTAGAGTTGGGAACGACTAGCACATATGTGCGAGGAAAACCTTTACCTTAGAATATGTTATTGGCTAGTAGCATATCCATATTTTTACATTAAATTCAATCAGAATAGAGCTGTAAGGGACCTTTGAGCTTTTATCGCATAAGGAAGTCTCTGTCACTGACTCATAACATTCTTATGAAAGGAAATATTATTTTAAGTGATTAATATTTTAATTAATTTTATTAATAAACCAGGCTAAAAGTTGGTTTATTTTTATTAACCTTAAAAGTAAGTGATGATTTTTGTTTTTGTTTTTATAGATATTAGTTTTAAAATGGAAGAACAATATGAGAGGTATGTATGAGAAAATATTTCAGAAGCATTTACTGGAGTCATATTGGGAGATGTTCCTACCATTTTGTTATCAGTATACCAGTTTTGAAAATAGATTCTGTCTTCTATTTAATGGCAGATTTCAAAAATACAGAAAGAAGTTATTTTATAGTGATTATAGAGCATTTACTAAAGTTTTTGTTGAAGAGCCAAACAATCACTCATTCAGCAACCATTCATAGATAACGATAAAACTGAATGAGGGGGACTTATAATCAGTTCAGAGATTCCAGTCATCACTGCTTTCCTGGGGTCATCAGATCACGATCTGGATGTTCAGTGCACAAGTCCTGATTTTGGTGTTGCAGTAAGCCATGGTCATGTCATAATTTCTAATGTTTTTTTCCAACTTTCCACAATCAAAAGCAATGGACAAGCTGGTAGGAAATCAGAAATCGCTCCCACCATTTTTTCCACCCGCCGGCACATTGGACGCCTGCCTGCAGCAGCCCTTATGCTTCTTCTGGCCTGTATGGCCTGCTGACTCTGTCCCACTGCCACTTCCCTAGCGAGGCCTAGCGAGCTCCCTTTGGCAGATCGGGTTCTGCTGCCCTGTCAAGCTCACCGTGTCCATCCCAGGGTTGTGCCTTTGCCTAGTCCCCGATCCCAGGTCAGCAGTGGGAGGAAGAAGATGGCAATGTCAGGGAGGGGGGTGTCGAGTAGCCCACAATAACATGCAGGGCGGCTGAAAAAACAGAAGAAAGAGACGTGGGGGAGCTGGAGTCCACGCTCTGGTTGTACATGCAGGCTGGTTGCCAAGAAAATTCTGATCATGTGACTGATGGGGCGCTGTAACAGCTGTAACATCCATTTGTTCAGTGCCTTGTAAGTTCAAGAGATTGCTGAATGAACAGACACTTAGCAAGAATGACCTGCAGTGTGAGAAAATGATTAAAATCCATCTTTTGCTTGTATATTCATGGCATCCTTATATTCCAGTTATTGTTTTGTGTAACGGTTTAGAAGTGTCATTGTGATATTATTTGATCTCTGTGTATATTTTTAAAAGTAGCTTTCCTGCTTGCAGCAATTTAATTAGGTGTTTTTTTTCTATAGATGTTCAGACGATCGCCTTCAAATCACTGGCTTCAGTGATGTTTTGGACATCATTAATGATCTTATAGTGGAGAATGGGGTTTCTCCTTTAGAGCTGGGCCTTTCAGAAATCCAAGCTAAAAAAATAGCCAGGTAGTGTTACGTTGATACTTTTAATAACTTTGATCTACATATGTTAGGTTGTATGATGCACCCAGGTGTATAGACATGATAAACAGTAGTTGCTTTTGGATAGGGCAAAAAACAGGAAGTTGATGCATTTACTATCTGTAGTCATTCTTGTTATATACACATGAAGAAACCAACTTCGTTGTAGATGCACCGATCTTGATGCATAGAGAGTCACTGTTCAACTTTAATTGTGTAGTGGCAACTACTAGGGGCTGGTGATTCTGATCAGGGATGCTCACCTCATGTGCCTCCAATGACAGACTATGAATGAATCAATATCCATAGGAAGATGGAATTGCTAGTTTCCATACCTAGGATTTCCACCAGTCAATTAAATAATTGGGACTAGCGTTTATCTCCAAATCAGGGCTGTCAAACTCATGGACCGCGGGCCGGATGCATCACGCCCTGGCCGCACCCACAGCCAGTTTAGCGAAGGGGAAGAAAGTCACATGACACTGTCGTCAGTTTGACACCCCTGCTCTAAATAACAACAGAAAAAGGGGAAAACAACACTTTATGTATGATTAGCAGCCATACTTTTTTTCCTGTAAATTTCAGCAGTTTATAATATTTTTACTTTGACTTGGTTCCCCCCCCCTACTTTAAATAACAATGGCCTTTGCAACTTCTTGCTGTTATTACAAATTCACAAATAGTTTATTTCCACTATATGATTCTG